CCATGTTCGAGTTAGTTGCCGTCAGTTTGAATTCGAGGGCTTGCGTGCTGATGCCTCTGAGCCACGCTCATAACAGTGGTTGGTCGCCTGAGCATGTCCAAAGGGGGCATTGCCGTGCAGTGGAAGCCAGTTTGCTCGATGCTTGTTGTTGGTAGCGTGCTGCAGCCTTTCATCCATCTCTTGCCTGCCACACCAGAACGACGCTGGGCTGAATGGCCACGCCAATGGCAAGGCCAGGAAGAAGATGTCCAAGTCACTGAGCCGGTATTCCGAGGGCTCGCAGACTTGCTTCTCTGCCCCATGTCGGCACACTGCATCTGAGCAGAAAGCTCCCGGCATCTCAACTGTGGGCTTTGCCTGCTGCAAGGGGACCTTGCTGTGGCAGAGGAGCAATTCGAGACTTTTTCCGTGCTTAGTACAACCCGCATCTGTTCTTGGCAGGCTGCCTACAAAAGCAAAGGGCTCGATGCGGATGCTCCTCCGTTTCATCCGCCAGCACGGAAGCCCGGACGGCCGTTAAACCAAATGAGGTTCGTCAGCAGGAAATACTGCTTGCGAACATTTCGGGCAGAACGGATGCCTTGTATCCGCAGTGAACGAAATCAGTTCTGGCTGAGCAATTTCGACCCCACGGTCGACCAACATGCAAGGAAGCGTATAGACATTCGAGGACTCCACTATATTCACTCTACGTACCCTCGTTGCTTGTTCCGCTTGCTTTTGCTCATCTTGTCAGCACGCAAGACACGGTAGCTCAAACAACAACAGGGCGAGTTCATGCCGTCTTTTGTCTCCATCGTATCAGATCAGAGCTCTCGGAAGTATCACCGAGGCACCGTGCCGGGATCAAGTTAAGTTGCCTCCCGAAGGAAAACAGGCGTGTCCTAAATCTGTGTCTGATTGGCAGAACCCTGAACAGCTGCAACGCTAAAGGTCATGGCAAGTTGCATTGCGCAAGGGGTTTTCAGATATAGGCAGGCCGCTTGTTCTCGCTTCGCTCAGGCCCGGCCACCGGGCAGCAGCGGCAGCTTGGGCCAGATGTGGTCCCAGGCGAAGTAAAAGGGAAGCCGTCGCATGTTTCGACCAGTTGGCATTGGACCTCGATTATATGATTATATGTCTGGGTTGCCTGGACATGTCTGGACCACGCGCTGAGGGTTCACAAACAATTGCCGAGATCCGAATGATTGCGCCCTGCACCCTTTCCCATCCGACTGCTGGAGTGTGTGCTTGCTCGGAGGCACAGATGACCGCAGAGAGCCCCGGCTTGACTCGAAGATAGATTTGTAAATTGCGTTCTGTACATGTGCTTCGGCCACACCAACTGACCTGACTGCAAACAACACATACTCTCTGAAGAGTTCTATTGATCGAGATCGCCATGTGATCTGCACTGGGTCAGTGCCTCCACTCCGACCGAGGAGGACAGGACGCGACTGACGTATCAAATTCCCTGAGCAGAGTTTTCAGCTACGCAGACTTTGTTCCCCACTCACCTGCGAGACAGAGAGAGATTAACATCAGGTGGTCGGGCGGGCCTCTGGCCCGAGGGTCGCATGGACGACCCGTAAGCCCTGCAGAAAGAAAGATTGAGAGCGTCCTTCATGATCGTCCCTGACTCGCATCATCTCGCATCCTTCGCCGAGCAAGGAGCTAAATTGGCCGGGGGTAAATGCAATGAGGCTCTCTGGCACCGTCACACAGTCGGGACCCTCAGTTCATCAGTTACGCGCAACAATACAAAAACCCACCCCCTCACCCCACCCCCATCGACACGAAATGACACGAATTTGCTGAGGGTGCGTAAATTCCCAGTGCGCGGTGAACGTGCTTAAGTTTATGTTACAGGGGGGTCGCTTTATCTCGCATCGCTAGATTGAAATATGCATCGACGAGCGTCCACACTCGGGAAACTTTCAATCAATCACTTCTATTTGTGAACGATCCGATGTTTCCACGTGGAATGGAGCGTCTAGATGGGGAATGGCTGGGTTGGATGTGGTGTGCTGCTACTGATGTGCATCTCGAGCGGCTTGTAGAATCGAGCGTCTAGATGGGGAATAGCTGGTTTTGATGTGGATGTGCGCCTGGAGTTAGCTCATCCAAACCAGTCTCGGTCACACTGTTTGGCGCTAGGTCACTGGTGTTGTTGCTCCAGAAAACAGTGCTCGATACGCGGACCGCGGTTGCAGCCAAAGGATCGAAACTCGGAATGTGGATCTCGAGCGCTTTTCGATGATTCATGGGACGAGAAAAGTAGCGTCTACTTGGGGATTCGGTGCCAAAATATGATCTAGAATGCAATGACAAGCACTTGAAACCCCGGCGTCCGCGGCACATCCTGAAAATTCAGCCTGCGCGACTTGGAGACTAAAACACAGCGTCTACATGGNNATTCCTTGAAACAGCGTCCACACTCGGGTGATGTATATTCTCGCCGACTGATGTGAGATACCCGCTACACTCGTATGTAAAACTTGGAGATTCTCAGCAATACCTGCTCTGTAGCTGCTGACGGTGTTGCTTCTTGTCTGTGTCCAGTCCTGTCACATCCCTGCAAATCAGATGCCCATCAAGCAGTGAAGCGGTTTACATAGAGAGCGGTTTAATTGCAGTACAGGTGTCCTGCGCGCTAAGCCGTGCATTCCCACCGCATCGCACTCGACAACCTAAGCACCTGGTAAGACTCGTCGGAGGTTGCAGAAGTTGCGTTTAGGCCTAGGACAACACATTGCTAATCGTTCATCCAATTTCCGTCCAAGCTAAGGGCCTCTGCATCTTTGGATGCGCGGCGTGGCCGCACTTGTTATGGAACTCGTCGACCCATGCACATACTGCAGACCATGAACAAGGTAAGAGTTTGTTGTGCATCCAAAAGCGGAGTATGCAGAAGCAGAACGCTCTTCTCGATTCTCGTGCTCAGACGCCACGAAACTTATCTAGGCGGATGGCAGATCATCTGCTCCGGTCTCAGTGGCGGTGACTCGGCATGGAAATGTTGATTTTCGGTAGCACATCGTGCTTTTTGAAGCCTCGTGGCTTGCTTGCTCCCGGTGCTTGTCGCTCATTCAAGCAAGTCTAGCCGTAACTCGCAAAAAGCCCTTCTGGTCACCTGGTCACCATCAGCAAGCTTTCAAAATGCATGCGCTCACACTTGTTTCGCGTGTACTGGAGCCAGCTGCCCTCCAGTTAAAATTGGGTCCACTGACGGATTTACTGCTGCAGGCACGAGCACGACGATGCAGCCCCTTGGCTAAAAACCGGATGCCTCCTGCCTGTCAGACTCCATTCTCCACCTGACCTCCCCCAGAATTTCTTTCTGTGACGATCCGGAAATGATTGATGCGCATGGCTGGTGGGCGTTGGCAAGTAGAGCGGATGCTATATTTAGTTTCTCACCAGTGTTTTTGGGAGTCATGTGTGTCGAGACTTGTCGGTGCTGTGAGCACCAAGCCCTCAGTATAGACAAGGGGTCGGAGGGGCCGCATTGCAAAGGCATATCGCATCCTGGGGGACCTGAAGGTGGGTGGAGTGTGTCTGCAAGGCATTGCAAGCCAATCCTAGTAGCAGCCTGTGCTGGCAGTAGGCAGTTGTTGCACCTCCTGCTTTGGCCAATGTGTCCGGGATAGCTGCTGGGCTTCCCAAACATGTCAACGCAGGCGATCTTAAGGGAGCAGGACCACAAGGGAGACCTTCGGTTGCAGCCAATCCTGGATCCGGTCGCATCTCTCCCTTGTGCGGATGAGAAGTTTCCGTGCTGCTAGTAGGACGGACACGACCAGATTCAGACTTGGCATTGCGCGAGCCGCGAAATGGTCCAACATTTGGCATGCAAAGGTGGTGTGAGGAAAGCAGATAGCCATCTGGCTGATGGATGATGCCATCTAAGGAGGTCAAGATATTCGGCAGCTGCGCGACCAGCTTCCGATCAGCAAAGTCTGACCTTGATGTGACGCACCTTTGTCGGAAAGTCATGGAATCATGTAACTCTTGGAGGTGTCGGGCTTTTTGTGCGCAGCAGCTTCTGCCGTCTGCCGGGCCAAGGTATACGGGAGATGTGGAGAATGGACGCAGCGAGCCTGGAATAGTTAGATGCTTCATGAAGCGGCGAGGTTGGATTTTCGCAAAAAATGACGAAGAAGTCTCAAAGGTGACAGGGTTCATTGTCGGCCTCAAACCCAACGCCTGCAGTCCCTGGCTTGAGGAGTGATGTCCACCCTCGCCACAGTCATGCAAAGCCTCAAGGACTGCCGTAGACTGAAACACCATCCCACTTCGTCGATGCAGTACTGTTGAGAACCAGGTTTCTTTCTATCGTCATCAAAGAGGGGGAGGCGGAAGAATAGTAGTAGGAGGATTGGGGAAGGAGTAGTAGTAGCAGCAGCAGCAGCAGCAGCAGCAGCAGCAGCAGGTCGTGTTTGTCGTCGTCGTCGTGTTGTCGTCGTTGTCGTCGTTGTCGTCGTCGTCGTAGATTAGAAATAGAAGCTGTAGTTGTGGTGTTTGTAGTCATCGTCGTTGTGCAGCAGCAGCACCAGTCTGTAACGACAACAACTACTATCGCTCCTACTATTATAACTATGACGACGATGACGACGACAACTGCTGCTGCTGCTGCTGCTGCCGTAGAACAACTGCGACATCGACGACGACGGTGACGACGACGAGCAGAAGCATCAGTGAAGTCATACGCTGATTCTTTTGGAAGGTGGCTGTGACAGGAATGGTGCAATGCAGTGAACACTACTTCCTGCAAGGTGAATGTTTTCAGTGCACGGCCCAATGTGAAATGTGACAGAAACGTGTCTCCAGGACCGTGGCTACCAGAATGTCACAAAAGTGTTCACGTTCCATTCTCAGCCTGCGGCAGTCGTTGCCACTCCAAGTGCACTCCATATGCGCCTTAGAAAGCCAGGGAAGGTGGCTTTCAAAAGGCAAGGTCGTAGTCGAGATGCTGGCTGGTCCAGCACGCTTGAGTATTCAGAGAACTCGCAGTAGTTCTGCTTGACAGGATTTGAACAGGGGTATATGCTGCCTGCTGTTGAGCCGTGTGATCCTGGTGCACCCTTCTACAAGCTTGTGACGCTTGGTCCCAGGTCTCAGACACGGCTTGTGAAGTTCACGGATCCCTCCACCAACATGGAGGCAAAGACCTGTGCTTCGCTGCAGAGGGCCTCCGGCCTCCGCCCTGCCATGGAGAGAAGCAAAGGAGGAAGAAAGGAAGGACCGCGGTGACCACAATGTCTTGATCTTATAAGACCTAGCGTCGAAGGTCGCACCGTCTCTTTTCGTTCTTGGGGTTGCGCCTGCCGGCATCGATTGGTCGGACATGACTTTGCTACTTGGATCGGGGGTTTCAGCAAGGTCATGCAAGGTCCCAGGCACTGAGCCTGTTGCCCCGGCTCCATTGCCGCTCGACTCCCCTGCTCCGGGCAGGTGGACTTCTGCTTGCACAACGCCCCTTGTCTGCTAATGACCTTTGCGGCACAGTGAGGGACTGCATTTCTGATGCATCCTTTGATCCAGCTAGTTTCTGCAAAGCATGACAGTTTGTGCATGAAGCTGAGGACCTGGGAATCAGAAATTCCAAGATGCTGGAATGCTATTGCCGTTGCGACTACCGAGTGCAGATGTGGGCTCGGCTGCATCATTTGGGGCTCATCGCTGGGACAGTTTGCCCTTAAATTCGTGTCACCCGCTTTCTCGTAACCGCTGAGAAGTGGTTGAACTTGAAGAGCCCTCCATGTGAAGCAGAAGCGGCTTTCGGGTAGTTTGGCGGGAGCCGGAAACCCCGCACTCTCCGAGGTTGGGACGTCTGGTGCAGCTCGGATGCAATTCTTTGGGCTACCGCTCGCGATTTTATGCATCGCAAGATGCTCTTTAAAAGGGCGCTGCGACCGGAAGACTCGGTGGTTTGCGGGTGGCCTGTCGTGTTATACCCAGGATGTCGGGGTTGAAGGGAGTGTCCAAATGTAGCAACACGCAAATCTAGGAAGTTCCAGGAATGTAGCAGCCAATGGGGCGAAAGAGGGGTGGCTGCTTTGAGGCTTGCCTGCGGCAGGACACCCGCTGGAACTTCTATATTGAAGTAGTCGAAGCCTGAAAGGTGTAGTTGATATATAGTTGATGCACAGCACTGGGACAGCTGTCAGGAAACTCTGGGCCAAGAGGTTTGACATCGTGAGCAGCACGGATGGTTGCCTGAACAGCTATGCGCAGCTCGGCCTTGACCCTGATGGATCGTAAAAGCAAAGCCCTGCACCTGTCATGGAGTGAGGGCATCCGATGCTGAGGTGGAGATTCTTGCTTGCGAGCTGCAGCCCGAACTCCCTCCCACCAATCGGGGCTTGAAACTGGCCAGGTACATGCTCATGGTGTTGTACTACTTGCAGTTTCTCGGCCATGACTTGGGCAAGCAAAGCCATGCGCTTTAGGAGCTCTCATGTTACATCAGGGGTCCTTGTGGCTTGTGTACATTAGGCGTAGCATGGATTTCAGTCTCCCGCGCTGACTTCTCTTCAGTCTTTGTGCATAGGTTTTTTGTAATCGGCCAAGTGGTTTCGTTGACAAGCCGAGGGTCCGGGGGTGGGGGAGAAGTCGCCTTTGCGGAAACCTTGCCACGGTAGTCAGGTTAACGACACATGTCCTTGCCGACGGTTTGGGCTGTTTCATCTTGTAACCCCCGGCTGCTTTAGGCTATTCGCTTGTGATGGGATGTTGACTGCCAAGCAGGACCAGAGAATTGTCCTTAATGTAGGCATCAGAGGCTTCCGGAAGTGTCGTCGTGAGTGAAAAGTCTTGGTGGCCGTATTCGCTTGAGCCGCTCCTGTGGCAAGGTCTCTGCAACCAGAGGTAATCCCGAACCTTCAGCAGATGCAGCGTTCTCAGACACGCCTGTGTGAGCGGGTTGAGCATATAGGGGGCAAGCATCAATCGCTACATTATCCAAGATCGAAAACCGAGAAATCGCAAGGAGTTGGGCGTTGGGCCGGGCAAGTCACCTAGGGAGCTCACTGTGCTCGATGATCAAACTTACTTCCTGCTGAGGGCCAGTGCAGAAGACCCCTGCCAGATCCAGGGTCGTGTGTCCGGGCTGCACATTGTCCAGTGACCCACTTGCATTGGTTTCCTGCTCCTAGGAAGCCGGTTTGGAGGGAGACGGACTCGGACTGGAGGGGTTAAGGATGGACCGTTCTTTACGCGAACTGCTGCGAAATCGCCGAGGATGGATGGTGCGAGACAAAGTTCCTCGAGCAGGCCATGCGCCTGTGGACATCCGTGTAGAAAAATGTCTACGTAGTGTTATCACGATACTGGTTCCTGCTCTTACAATCCAAATGGCCCGGTGTTTGAGATATCTCTGCAGTTCCCCACGCAATCGCTGCAGTTCCAATGCAGGCGCCCAAGGAGGAATAGTAGTACTAGTCGTCGTCGTTTGCCGCGGAGCAGCAGTGAGCAGCAGAAGATGTAGCATCTCGGATCCAGCTGCGCAGCGCAGAACGTTAATTCACATGGCCATGATGACTCAATGATGACTGTCTATTCTTCCCTTTGCCGCTTCACTTTCCCGGCTCTGCCTTTTCCTGTTGCCTGACTCCGCTTCCTTCCGGCTTTACTTCCCTGATTTTCCTAACTGTTCAACTTGATGATCTCCAAAATAAAAGGTTTAACCAGCACAGCATAGGGTAACCTGGTGGCATAGGCTTGTTGATTGCGCAGGTCGATGAGCTCCCGCGATCGGAGAACAAGAGCAGCTCCTGGGCAGCAAAGAATCATTGGATCTCGGATCAAGCAGCAGGCATCAGCAACTTGTGAGGCTTGGGGTTACATGGAAAGCTGAGGGGAAAGTGTTTCGAAGAACCAAGAGGCGTCTCGCTTTTCAGCTCGTGATCATTTGCGTACGCGCTTTCCCGTGCTGGCCTCCGAGGTGTTCGATTGTGTCGAATGGTTTGACATGTTTGACGTTTTGTTGCAGGCCGTGCCGACATCCGCTGATCCAAGCATGGGGTTGAGATTGAGATGAACAGATGAACCGAGCATCTTGCAGAACAGCTTTCGTTGTCTCGGTGGCATGCTAAGGCGTCGCTGACCTGCTCTACGGCTTCTTTCGGTTCTACAGCTGCTGGGATGCATTTCACCCCCCATCTCTAAATGGGCTCCCGAGTCGACGTGGGATGCGGAAACGGAGATCCTAAATACCCTTGTTTTTTTACCTGTGATGGGTCCAACTGAGACTTGACTTCACTTAGATATAATCCCTGACCGCAGACTATTGCTGGTTGGTTTGATTGTTTTTTGGCATGTGTGTCCCTGAATACTCGAACTCAGAAGTATCACGCCGACCAGACTCTTTGGATCCACGCCTGGCTTGTCCGAGTTGTGAGAGCGTAAAATGCGTAAATTGGTGCACGTTGGGGAGCCTCTCAACCCAGGTGAGGAGTTTGACTGGTCGCAGCATGCCGTGTGCATACGCGAGTCGGCTGCACGAGCATGGTGCTTGCATTTCGCAACGATGAGGTTTCGATGTGAGCCAGACCTCTCCACTGCAATTGCCAAGCACATCTCATGTTGTTCTCCTTCGGCTCTGGTCTGAGGTGAGGGCAGGCCTGGTGCGATCGTCGACAAGTTCGGCTTAAGCACCAAAACGTACTACGAGCAGTGGTCCCTTGCACAGCAAGACTAATGGTTCATGCAAGAGCATGGGGTGCCACCGTTCTTGGCAGGGTTTGTGGTGTCGTGCTGGTGCAAAAACACAATCAGGAGATTGAGAAATCTCATACCAATTCCACAGCCGCGCAGGTACATAGAAGACCCGTTTGACCTGAAGCACAACTTGGCTGGGAAATGCAGCCAGCAAGGCAGGCTTCCTGCAAACGCTTGGACAGGAAGCTGCGGCATGTGGATCACTACCTCAAGCGTGGTTTCGCTCTCAACCCTCGGCCACAGTTAAAATCTCATCTGCTTGAAGTGCTTGGCAGGCCAAAACTACATCCTCCGCCAGCACCGAGCTGAGAATGCCCAGGGTTTCACACAACAAGAATGTCTCTGAAGGAATCTAGCGAGGGATTTTGGTTTTCCAGTGGTTCGGGCTTTGCCAGACTTCAACACAAAAACAACGAGGCGCAAGGCTAGCGGCTAGCAGCTGGGTTCCTCGTTGTCCGCACCACTGCACCCGGAACTAGCGCGAACTGGCATCACAGCATCGCTTGATGCCGTTTCTGAGTTTATACTGAATGCCAGAGTGCATCTGAAGCATTGGCTCGCGTGGAAGAGACTCTCGTCTACCATGTGTTCAGACACTGAAACCACTGCTAGCGTGCTCACAGGATGCAGAGCGCCAAAGACGAGTTGTCCAAGGCGACACCAGACTTGGCCCAGGCACAGACGAAGATCAATAGCTTCCTTTGAACAACTGTTCTAGCATGCTGTGTACGCTTGCTTCCGGGCTTTGTAGATAGCTTGCAGGTCTGTGGCCCGCCACCAGAGCGGAACAGCTTCTTCCTTAGGCAGGATGAAGTCCAGAAGCGAGATGGTACGTGTGGTGGAGCAGTCAGCTCCTTCTGATAGTTTGGGTTTGTCTTGGGACCAAGCCCGAGTGTAGGAAGTTGGTGTACTTGGGCTAGTTAGTTGTGGTCCTGCAGACGACTGCGCAGCGAACAGCGAGCATACGGACTTCAGGTACTTACAGTGCTTGGCCGCTGGAGTTGACGTTGTTTGCAACGTGATGTGTACCTCTGACCCTTGCCAGGTGTCGATCCGACACAGACATGACTCCAGAGGCAGATCTCGGTGCCCAAGTTAAAGAGAAACTCACTTTAACAAATTGAGACAGGCAAAAAAAGGGAGCTCTCCACCTATTTCCCGATTTTTTTGTCCCCGGCGGATCAGGAGCTCCTGGAGGCCTTCCGGGAGGTCGACTTGGTGAGGTCACCCCCGGGGAGTTATGGAGCAGCTACTGAGGGTTTTGACTTCGGGTGTTCTACTTATGCTGACATATGCTGACCGTGGAAGCCGGCAGCAGTCTAGAGTAAACTTTCAGCTTAGGGAGGCATGGAGACAACAGCTTCGTGCAGCATTCAGAAGCCTAATATAGGGTGATCAAACCGCGCGACTCGTTACTCGGCGTAGCAATCAGGGTGTGCATGTTTTACGACCTCGTCACCCCCAGTAGACAGGAATAGACAGGATCTTGTCCTCCTGCATATGTCGAACTTTACCCTGCGAGGCTACACTTCCCCACAGGAGGTCAGGCTCGGCAGGCCGCAAGAGTGCTCAATTTTTCCTTCTGAATCCCATCTTGTGAAGAGGGTCATGGATGGTGGTGTGCACGGGATGTGTACTCGAAACCGCAAGCCCAGGGCCTGGCTTCTGAATGCAGGGGCAGCTACACCTGAATTTGCCGGAATCGTTGCCTCAGCTGCAAGGAGCTGCCACCACTTCCATCAAGGAACCCTTCTGTGCGCAGAGTACATGCCACAAAGAAGTGCCAACAGGCAAAAGTACCGAGACGTCTACGCAGAACCGCCAGCTGGCCCCAACTGCGACAAGCCAAGCACAAGCCTACAGCCAGAGCGTCTACCGGAGTCTTGAGCGCTATGGTAACCGCCCCCTGCCAACGTCGCGAGCAGCATTTGACGGGCGCGGTCGCCTTTGCTCGTTTCCTTGGAGAGCAGCAGCTTTCGGACTTGGGCAAGGTCACGTTCTGGACTCTTGCAGCTGCGCAATTGCATGTTTGCGATGTGTCACATGCGCATGACAGCAGTCCATCAAGGGTGTGGGAGTGTTCCACGGGTGTCCCAGCTTCCACAAGGCGACGGCATGTAAGGAGTTGCTGCCACTGCTTTGGACATCCTCCTTTTTCGCTGCTTGAAGCTTAATTAGGTTGAACTGGATGGCTTCGACTGTTGAGGGAATCGAAACCAATTTGTGGAAAGGGATTTTCGGACTTCCAGAAGGTTTGTTCATGGTCTTCCTGTTGTTCCTCACGCCGCACGCCGTCAGCTTTTCAGGCTCGAAGTACACTGCCTGACACGCCTTAGGCGTGTCTGGGCTTCGAAGAACCCACAACTTTAATTGCAAAACCCAGCGCGCAGTATTCTGTACCCTCCTAACTCCATTTAGGCTTGATTGAGGAGAGGATGCGTAGCGGCCAGCAGCTAGTTTCAGGGCTGCATCATGGCTCAGCATGATGCTTTGTTAGATGAAATGTACCAGGCCTGGGGGTTTGACAAGTGCCCGGATTTCTGGTTGTAAGCCTGCGGCAGCACGTGCGGCCTCATGGCCTCTCCGGGGCTGATGCTGGGTGAGGTACTGCCTGGTAGTGCACCTGGAGAGCAAGAGTTAGCTCTCTCGTCCTGTGCAGGTTTGTTAGGCGAGTACTTGTAGCAGGCTTGTCACTGTAGCTCGGAAGGGCAAGCGAACGCTCTCCCGATTTCAGCCGAAGACCCACACTGGCACCACCTAGCGGACCCAGCATGCTGTTGTCTATGGCAGCGTCCACATGCGCCGTCATAGGCATGACGACATATACTGATTCTGTACTCTAACTCTAAGGCCAGCCCTCAGTCCCTGCAACCACACACTGTGGCAGGGCCCGCGGCACCGGTCCTCGAGTGACCTCGCGACGAGCATGGAGAAAGCCGCTTTGCAGCACGTTGACAGCTACTTGTAGCTCCAACCTGGGCAGACCACCAGATTCGTTGCCCTACAGTGCCCTCTCGCAGAAATCAGGCGCAGAAACCACATGGCTTGAACATGTGATGTTGACTAGTCCTATCTGAGTTGCCTCAGGAGCCGCCATATCTCCAGAAGTCCAAGGAAGCCAACCCCGGCACCTCGGATGCCAGAGAAGAAGCGCTTGCCGTCCACAGGTTCTCAATCATGTGTCCAACACCCCGTAATTGGTTGAGCTACAACCCACTGCAGCTTCCTCAAACAGAGTGACACCGTGCGAGAGCAACAGCATTGTTGCAATTATATGCTTATGCGTCAATCTATCTGTCTACCTATCTGTCTATCTACCTACCTATCTACCTATCTACCTATCTACCTATCTATCTATGTTTACATTTATACGTTTGTGTGTATGTATCTGGTTTGCACGTGTACATATTTATAATCACGTACATCTATTTCTATATGCATATATTATATAAGGCATATGTGAGCTGTGAGTATGTAATAAGGCAATATAAATTTGATGATATAAATCCTGCATTGCCTTAAGGACCCTAAACGATGGGAATTATGGTATATGCCTTGCGAGCACGGATGAAGTCAGGTCAGCTCTGGAGACCCGACTCAGAGGTCCTAAGCAGCACAGAGCCCGGGGCCAAGAGAGGACACTTGTAGCTTAGGCTTTGCGGTTTTCTGGGCTTCATGAAGGCTTTAGGGATCTCGATGGTTTACTGTTGAGGGTTTCGGGCTTCAGGGCTTCTAGTTTCGAAGAGGCCCGGATGCGAAGAGCATATAGTCTTATAGTTTGGATTTGGTGATTGGGGGTTTAGTTTTAAAGGTTTAGGCTTCGCGCGGGTTTGGGGGCACCAGCTTGTGGACCTGTGATGGTTTGGGGCTTTAAGGACTACAGGGCTTTGCCAAAACTTCATGGTTAGAGAGTTTAAGAAGTTATGGCAGGGTCTCTGCAGGGTCTTATGGGCTTGCTAGCTGTTGCTTTATTTTACTTGTATTATGGTTTTGAGAGAAGCCTTGAAGCGCCCTTCTGTAGGCAAATGTAGGCAGCCCTACCACATCAGGCTGCACTGTTGCCGGGGCTACACCAGGAGCCTACTACTGTAAGTATGGTTCGTGTTGTGACAGGAGCCATGATAAGCTCGATCGGATGGCTAGGTGGCACTTTCAAGGGACCCGAAGCCCGAACAGCCTCCACAAGGCACTGGGTGCAAGTTCTCCGACAAGAGGGAAGAGGGCGTTTCAACTCTTCATCACCGTGTCACATCACGAGTTGTATGCAGCCAGCTACCTCAGAAGTTCAGAAGAAGAACCAGGAGTCGTGGGAGAGGTTTCATGCACATAGATCAAGTCAGCAAGCAGGTGGGTTTGTCGTTCGCACGCGCTCAGGAACCTGATTGTGTCGTTGATGGAGCTTCTCGGCTGAAGTTGAACAGTTGGAAGGTATCACAACGCGCATGCACACATGCACGTGTGCCTGCATGCCCCAGAACAGCTCTTCGTCTGGTCTGTTTCGATGGCATTCCAGGATCGGCATGGCCATTGCCATAGCAGCTGTAGGTACACTGTCCAGCACAAGCATGGAGTCATGCAGCTCGTTGCTCAGGTTGCACCACCGTGAGCTTCTTGGGAAGTTCCAGGCGCAAGAGGACAGCACACACATTGCTTGCCCAATATAGATTCCCGAGAGATGCCCGACGGCAACAGTCCTGTTTGTCATGACTGCTTACAGTAACACTTGGCAAGTTGGCACTGATCGTAGTGGTTGGTATTGGACGACGACATTACGAAAGTATTGTAAGTACCGAGTAATATGGACGTGCGCCTAAACAGTGTTTAGGAGAGGTAGTTGGTGGGGGCGGGGGGGGGGGGCGCCTACTACCACTACTATTACTACTACGGCTACTGCTGCTGCTGCTGCTGCTACTGCTACTCCTACTACTACTACTACTACTACTACTACTGCTACTGCTACTGCTACTGCTTCTGCTACTGCTACTGCTCCTACTCCTACTCCTACTCCTACTCCTACTACTACTACTACTACCACTACTACTACTACTACTACTACTACTACTACTAAATGGCTACGGCTCAAGCCATTTTGGCTCAAGTGTCGAAGAGGAGACTCTGTGTGACATTCCCACTGTCTTTTCCCGCTCTGACTCAG